GTCTATGGTGGACGCGCATCTTGGAGCAGCGCAGCATGTAGCGGCGCGTTTTGCCAGTTGAGAGCAGAGCACAACATGCAGCAGAGCATTTATCCACACATGCAGCAGCTGCAAAGCAGCGGCTGCTAAAGTTCAACAAATTGAACTTTGGCTGCTTGCCATGCAGCAGCAATCAAACGGGAGAGAATATTTTTTTCACGTGACGGTTTCATGAACCAGACCCAGACTGACAGGAGCCTTTTTAGCTGAAATCGACAGTCTGCAGTTGGTGTTGTAGCTGGAGAGATCAGCAGCGATGTGATGAGACAGCAGCTCGCTGAGCTCGGGACAAAAATAAGTCGCTCAGCTCGCAGTTCCTGGAGTGGTGAAACTTTAGTAAATAAAACAAAACCATTGTTTTTATTTTATTTTTATTTCACCAGTCATTAAAGACAGACCGGAAAAAAACCAAGACCCTCCTCCCTCTACAGCCTCTAGTCTGGTCCCGGTCTGAAAAAAAAAAAGGTCAGTGGGAGCGCCTCTAAATTATCTGGTGAATTAATTATCTGCTCTGTGCGCAACGTTCGCTTGCTCTTTACTAAATAAAGCAAAGCTATTTTATTTATTTTATCTTCATTTCAAACCTCAACCAACCAGAAAAAGAACAAAGACGCTCCTCCCACTGTGCGTCTTTAAACACGTTCGGTGTGAACGGACATCTGTTGAGAAGCAGCCAAACGCATGCGGCAGGAGCATTTTGGCTGCTCCAAACGCGTTTGGTGAGAACCCGGCTTAAGTCATTACAAACATGGCAGCAACAGATGTAAACATAGCATATTGCTACCACAACACTAGCGCTCATCGTCAGCCATCAGTGGAGACGTCAGCATCTTTTCGAGGCTTTTGAGCGACAAGCCCCTAATACTTGGGAGTGGCTACGTATGCAACATTTTTAGGAAATTGTAGTCAATGATTTTACTACTTTCTTTTACTATTTTGGTGATTTTACGACTACTTCTACTTCCTGTTGTCTTCTTCTCGTCGTCAGTAGAAACATCCGGTTCTTGATCACGTGACTCCCGTGATACGAAAAAGTGTTTCCATTGCACTTTTGCGAAATACACCAATTTCAATACAGCCGAAAAAACACCTTATCCTAGCGCAAAAACATTTTGTTGAAAAACGTACGTGTTTTTGAAACTGACGTGTTTCCATTAAGCAAATATATTTTTGAAGTTCTAATTTGTGCATTTTCATGGTGAATAGAAATGCAGCGACAGACATGTTGGCAGCCAGATTGTTTACCCAGAGTCACTTTACTTTTATACCTTTATACCTTACTTTACTGCTTATTTAATGTTTCAGGATTATTACGTTGTGTTAGAGAACTGGTCTTATTTTGTGTGTGTGTGTGTGTGTGTGTGTGTGTGTGTGTGTGTGTGTGTGTGGTGTACTCACACAGTGGGAATGTATTCACCAGGAAAGGCATTTGTAGTGTAGCTGATCAGCAGACAGGTCTTTCCTACAGCCCTGAAGGAGAAAAGAGATGGTCAGAAAACAAGACTGCAGCTCCACTCATTGAAGCTCTGGGTGAGGGTACACACAGACGACTGCTCCCTGCACTGACTACCACACACACACTGGCCTACTTTCATGTTGCCTGGGGACACAGTAGCCTTCAATGAAACACTTCACACACACACACACACACACACACACACACACACACACACACACACACACACACACACACACGTCTCTGGTGCCTTTGTGACGAGGCGACTAAATGGATTCCTCGCTTGCTGCAGCGATGAGAATTGATTGGTGACAGAGAGAGGAGACCAGAGAGGCTTAAGGATGAAGGTGAAGTTGTGGGATGATGGGGTCAGAAATCTCTACACACACACACACACACACACACACACACACACACACACACACACACACACACACACACACA